GCAAAGTAGGAGCTAATGGTGCCTTCCTAAGTGCAGTCCCTGTCAGGCTGCCACCACATGGGGTTGTTCCAGAATACATGTTACCTTGAGAGCGCTGGTCCTTGTAGTCATCACTGAAACCATCACCCCGGTAAGAACCTGCACAACAGACTAAACAGTAATAATGCTATGCACACACATTTCACAGTGCCTATGAAAAATTTTGACTTGATTGGGTTTACTAAAAAAACTACTCTAGACGTTACTCACCCGCTGCATTAGCCGCTATTCCATCTTGGGAGCCCCCAGCTTTATTGCTCTTGCCTTGAACTATATTACTTTCATGCTTAGATCTCGGTGTACGTCCCGACTTGCCACAGGTGCCAGAGGCTGCATGGTTCAATAGGGACGTACTTTCACGAAAACAGCGGCCACAAGCTGGACAGCGGAATGGTTTCTCTTCATGAATTTTTTCATGGCGGGTGAGTGACTCACGCCGATTGAAAGCACGACTACAAGTACTGCAGGCATAGGGCCGAGCCCCTGAGTGAATAACACCATGTTGAAGGAGATGTCCTTTTTTCTTAAAACACTTGCCACAGTCAGAACAATGAAAAGTCTTGTCAGGACTGCCACATGAGGATGAGGCTGAGCTTTCTTGAGTAGAGTGCGGAATACATGGATCAGAAGGATGCAAGACTGGGTTTAAAATGTTACTTCTTGTGCCACTTGTGCCTGCTGTGGTTAATTCATGACTACGTAGGTGCCTGCGCAGACTAGAGAGCTGTGTGAATGTTTTGCCACACTCACCACAATGATAAAGGGCTTCTTGTTCTGTCTCGGATTGTGGTGGCATGACACCATGACTGCCCGTTTTCGAGCCGTTTGTCACTAAGACTGATGTAGAAGAGGCTACAGAAGATGACACAACAGAAGTAGAGGATGAAGAAGTTAAGTGCGAGGAAGGGTCTCCAGCAATACCTGACAAACCAACACCCCCACCTCCATCCAAGCCTGCTGTGTTCTCTTGGTTCAGTGCTCTTAAAGTGCTACTGTTGGGGTTTGTAGAGCTATGATTGTTGCTGCTATTATTGTTGTTGTTTTCAGTCTTTCTCTGTGGCAGGTAGCCAGCCATAGCTTTTTTTCTCCTACCACCAGAGGAGCCACCTCCTCCAGCAGCGCCATCGCCCTTTCCCTCCTCTTTTGATAAAGAAAGATGTAGTGGAAGAGGAAGTGGCAGCCCAGCTTCCTGCTGCATTAGAGATGCTAGCTGGTTGGATGAAAGAACTGGGATTCCTTGAAAGTCAAAGCCCCCGAGTGAGGAAGGCTGTGAGGAGGAGTGCAGTGGATGGTGTGGATGTGGGTGGGGGTGAGACAAAGTGTGTGGTGGTAGTTGCTGCTGTTGTGTTGGTGGCTGTTGAGGCTGTGATAGAGTGCTGGGGTGACTATGAGTGTGTGAAGAATGAAGAGCGGGGGGAGGAGCGAGAGCCGAACTTGCCTCTCCTGCAGCTTGGCCCAGTCCAAGCCCAAGGTGGTTATGACTTCCTTGCTGAACTAAAAATTGTTCTAGACTGGAATTGGCTGGTACTCCAGAAAGAAAATACTGATTTGCTGCCAACATGCAGCTAAACTGTTGATGTAGGCTTCGGGCATCAGACTGAGATCCTGCTAATTGATGGCTCAAGGTGGTTACTGCACTACTGCTGGGAGGGTTATTGGACGTTGAAACAGAACTGGAAGACGGGGAGGAGGTTGATGGACCAGGGGCGGCTTGAGGTACTGACAGGCCAGGATGCAGTGGGGGTGGTGGCGGTGGAACAGATGAAACTAATCCTCCACTTCCACTACTGCTGGCAAAATGATCGAATCGCCCTACTCCTGGATGCAACTGCTCTTGTGCAAGGGTGGTCTCAGTTGGGTGGAATGTGCGCAAAAACTGAGGGTACCCACTCACATGACTTCCACCACTGCCACTGCTTCCAGACATTTTGCTTGACTTCCTTAAACTTTGAGATGAAGACAAGGACTGTTGTTGTAGAGGTGGGGGAGGTGCACTCATTTTTGCAAAAATTGATGTGGAATCTGTAAACGCACTGCCTCTAGATCCTTGTAGTGGGCCTAAGCCAAGTCCAGACAAAATTGACCCAGACGTCTCACTCTGCTGCTGCTGTTGCTGCTGCTGTAACTGGTGTTGGTGAAGCTGCACTTGTTGCTGGTGTTGAAGTTGTCGCTCTAATCCAAGACTTTTAAACTGATGGGACTGGTGTCCACTCAGCATCTCTATGATGTCCACATTGTATTTTCCAAACTGGAACATCTCCCAGTTACTGAAACATGGGTGCGCAGTGGCAACACCTTCTGCTCTATGAGCAGCAACAATGTTTGTTTGAAGCTTTCCAACTGAGTTTCAGCAGTTTCAGTGCAAAATGGTGCTTTCTAACATGTTCCTTATGTTTATGTTGTTTCACTTAAACACGCACCATGTTTTTTAATATTCTGGTGAATATTTAAAAAGGACATTTTGCTTTGATTGTAACTTGAATTTTTGATTTCTGCAAAAAAATCATTTTCCATGGATGTTTCATTCATGGGATTATAAAAATCAACTCCTTTTGGCTGCACACTGGATTCCATGTAATCACAGTTTTTGTACAATTCACCTCTGATACTGTAATTTCAGTTTGAATGTTCCATCAGAGTGCAAAGATGTATGAACTGGCAGAAAAAATGCCACTTGATGCAATTATGCATTCACATTTTGGAAAGTGCTGTAAAAAATGTGATCAATGTGGTTCAAATTCATTGAAAAACTTGCTTGGTTACATTTTTTTTTTCATTTCATGACAGTCCCACAGCAAGATGGATCCCTCCAAATCCCATGGCCCGATTTCATTTCATTGAATATTTATTCATTCTAAATCCACTCTGGTATAAATGGCTTACATCTCCGTTTCCAAGTTTCCATTAATATATTCTTCTTTTTTCCACAGTTGGAAGCAACATCCTCCACTACCATTCTTGTAAAGGTGCTCTTTCTGCCACTCCTTTTCTCACTGTAAGAGGACAAAAAATCAGCAACATGTTAAATTATTGCTTTCAAGAAAATAAATGCAGTTCTAAAAACAACCTTAAATGTAACTTATTATAAAAACTACAACAGAGAGAGAGACAGCTTATTACAGTAAGCATTTAATGTTTGTTTATATTTAATACACAGAAAAAAACACATGTAATGCACATATGTTTGGCACCAAATTGTAACTGTTGTGCATTTGTATTCTTCAGCAGCAAAAAGAACGTACCTTATAATGGCATGAACAGTAATAACACAAAAACTGAATGCCTGTTTATTTCTGGTGAACCCTAAAATGTATCCTCACTACAATGGTCATAATGTATTCTGTAATAACATGTGGAATTTAGGACTAATCAGATTTGTTCGTCGTATCCATCAGCATCATCTAAATTATAAACATGCATATTCAACCGATACTCTCTGTGTAGTACTGATGCATTTCCCGAATGTCATTATACAGTCACAACACGACACTAACCAAAAGTATCGTAAAATACGTTCTCGTATGATATGCGCAATGAAAAACAGCAAGATAAGACTCATGTCAAGATATTTATACAGTTTTCTCATTTCTCAATATAAGCGAGTGTTTTCTACGACTTTATCTTACATTCTATGCAGTTGGCATTGTGCAGAAAAGATGCTGAGTGCAGAGTGAATCGTCAGGGCTAGAGGTGAATTTCATGCAATTATTATCTTCCGATTGCATCGCGTATCGCTAAAGGAGAAGAGAGAAAAAAAATCCATGTCGACAGACTCCAGGGAGTGTTTGCAAAATAGTCAACGACTGGAAAACGCACCCCGAATATCAATAGTGCACTAAAACTTGCTCTGGCGTATTAACGGACACGAAATATTTTAGCGCTGTGGCTACGAGTAACATGTTAGCATGCAAAACAGCTGGCTAATACTACACATTCAGCAAATGGACGCAGCCTAGCATGATGCGCGACCAAACAAAAGCAAACCGGGAGCAAATCTGTCTCATTTAGCACGGAAATTAATCATAATTAAATCAAAGACGAAACAATAAAATAGGCCTTTTTACCTACGCATCCATCTTTTAGCCTGGTCAAGATGAACAGGGCCTGCTATTCTCTCTCCCACCCTGCCCCCCTCGTTCATGTACCCCAGCAGCTCTGCGCTGTTTTCCAGTGGTTAGCCTTCTAGCTACAGCTAGTAAGCAGACTCTGTTTCCATTGCAACCGAGCTGATAGCATGAGACCGAGGGTCCCTTATATTGCAGGACAGATTCACTTTTAAGTTATATCCTGTGGAAAATGCATCAAACGGCTTTAAGACCGATTGTCTTTTTTATTTAGCGTTTGCTTATTTTTCGGCTATAATATTTTGGACGGTCTATGTTGGTGTTTTAGAGAGGTACGAGTGACGTGTGAGATTTTAACATTGGTCGTTTCCGGACCTTGGAACACTTCCGGCTACCCCGTCCGTTATGTTTCTGTATTTATTATGGTTGCTTTCGGGAGAAGCGAGCGCACTTCTAATGCTAATATTCATAAATGTAGCGCTAGTAATAAGACAGCATTCGTCCGGCTTTTAGCTGCGTTTAGCTTTCAAGTAAGCATTGTTGTTGTGTAGTCGAATTTGACATGTTTGCAAGTTCGCAACACGAGCTGTTTATGAGGCAACGTTAAATCCGAATTACAAATCGGCGAATATAAATCTGACATAATGTCCTAAAGTCGCTATTCGTTTATTTTAGGACTCCTTTAGCATCATGTTTGTGTCTAAGAAGCTCTTATAGTGGCCATTTTATTACATACTGACAGCTCAAATTCAAAGGCAGGTCCTTATCAAAATGGCTGCCTGGAATCTTTTCCAGTCTTCGTGTAAAAAAGGATACTAAATGCTAACATTAAACACTATAACATAATTTAAACAGTCTGTGTTTTCTGCAGTGTATCAGACATTCGAGGCATATCAGTTTCATCAGTTGACTTTATTTTACAAAGGTGAAATTATGTGGAGGATGCAGTATTTAAATATTTCTGACTTGAGGGGATTTGATATAATAGAAAGTGTGTGTAAACATCATGGGGGTAATGCTTGATCTGAAGCGATTTACCCAAACATCCGTTCTGCTTCTGTGCTCGAGCGTTTCAAGACATGAGCTCAGTGCTGTTTTCCCAAAGGGTTTCAGTCTTCATCGTCCCGCTTTGCTTGTGCAACAATTGCACATTCCATTGTAAGCTACCAAACTTTTAAAATGCTTCAGGGCTTTATTTGCACATCCAATGTTTGATATTTTCTGCAGTAATATGCCTTGTGAATAGATTTCATAAACATTTTCATAATTATGGCTTGTGGATACAAAACAGACATTGCTACAGACTTTTTATGACAAAGAAAATACTAAATCAATTCATCTGTTCTAACTGTCCCTGAAAGAAACATTAAGAAGTTGAAATTTCACTTAATCAACAAAAAAAGAAAAGAAGAAGAAGACATTCGGTTACACACATACAACATACATCCTATGACATCATCATCATTTATAAACCCATTGTGATGTATCTGCAATGAGTAATGACATTTGCAGGCTTAAAACGATTACAATGTGACATCACACTGAGATTTTTTTCAAAGGCACTCCTCATCATTAGGAATGCATGAAGAATCGGCACACAATGAGTGGCTTTAAAGTTTGTGCTTCTATTTTTCTACTCATAATTTCCAAAAGAATTTCATGAGAAAGATATCTAAAACAAGTTAACACTAAAACCACAGAGGAAAAAAATCACCATCATAATCATAAGAGAACCATAACAACAAGAAGAAATTTTCACCAATAACCATAATATTAACTGTCATAGTAATGACAATAACAAACACCAATGTATTACAGAGCTGTTAGGAAGATTGTCTTTAAGTTGTATTCATATTTCATTAAGATACACACTAGTTCCAGTGAAAAGGTAAATGAATGTGTTACCACCAATCCTCCGGATGCTGATGTGATATAAACTACTCCTTTACACTTTAACTGGGAGGCATAAATAGTCCGTAGGGTATACTATTCAAGTTCATTACACTGAAAAATCAACCAAGAGGTATAAAGTATATGACCAAAAAAAAAAATGAAGTTGGTGGTTTTACAATGTAAATAAATTCCTTTTCATTGGTAAAATGAGTTCCCGACACCTGCGTTATTTCCCAGAGGTCAGAACCATAGAATAATTAAATATCTGGCTCTTTTGCGAACAATCTCACACTTTTAATTGTACTATTTACTTACTACATTAACATCTTTTGTTGTTGTTGTTGTAAATAATGCTGTTATTATCATTATATAATGTGTAAGCTGTCTGTAACATCTGCACCACTAACGCATGTGTGTTGTATAGCCCTTAATATTGATAAGCGTTATTGGTTATGAAGAGACCAGGTATGAAGTGTTGTGCTCATATCTGGGTAATAACAGATTCAAAACATACAGGTTAACTGTTTTGGCATGCTCGTATCCTCAAGACTGTTCGCAGAGAGAGTCTCAGTTTTAACAGCATATACACATGGCTTCATCATGGAGATTCAAAAAGCAGTCCAGGAGGTTTGTCTTTATGCAAATGCCAACCCACACCTGAGCGAGATAATGATACTGCCATGTTATGCGCACATTTTATGCCAGAATATTATTACGTACAAATATATTGATGAGTGCCCTTACTCTTGAGTTAGTTTCTTCATCTCAGATCCGTATTTAATAGCTTAAGGTGAACCGTTTGTCTACACAGTATACCTAGGGGCAAAAATACCCAGCATCACTGGAATCAAATGTATTATTTTTGTGCTTTTGGTAGTCCAGCGTCCCTCATGTTGAATCTCCCTTACAAATCCTAGCACTTGGACTTTGTAGAAAGTGGTGGCTCAGAATCCAAACAAGGTGCCATTGATCATTAATGAGTCTTTTTAAGATGGAGAAGAAAGATGATTGTCAGACATTTCTCTTGGTTTTCATTTGGGCTTTTCTGTCCGATAGTGTCCCAGAATGGCTTTCGTCGATAGTTCAAAGCGATCTCCAGTTATGTACTGAAGGGCAAACTTGAGGATTTAAAACTCATTGTGTAATATTTCCCAACAAAACAAACTGAACAGATACTCACTTGGTACATCTGTGTTAAATTCACACGGAATAAGATGCAGGCGAATAAACGTATGATAAGGCTTGCTTTCTCTGTCTCGCAGCGTACAAAATGAGTTCATCAAATTCTTTCGAGTTTATGAATGTGCTCCCATCATTGTTCATTTTGACGTATATTGTAAAAACCCTGCTGCACTTCCTCATTATGTCAAAGTGGATTAGGGTTTAAAAAGAGATAAGATCCAGCATTACATTTGTCCAACTGTAAGTAGCTTTACACTTCTTCAATTGGGATGAGCGCTCCTCCTTCAACTAGTTCCTCTAATTATTGTCTCCCATAGTAAGAAGATGAAAGTCGTTCTCTAAAATATATGGCTCCATAGCAGCTATATATATGTAATAATGTGAAATATCTGAGGATTAAAAACATATGACGTAAAGATATGAAAAATGTCAGTCACATCATGTGGAATTTATATTACACTATTGATATTCTATGCGGTAGGTTTATAGGCAAACTTTACACAAATAAATAGTTGTATAATATGGCAGCTTTGATCATAATTGTAGCGGCAATTTCATGAACATAAAAAGCACAACAACGTTGAAGCTCTATCAAACCTGACTTATAACTGCTGTTATCTAATCTTATCTCGAGCATTTGCCACTATATACAATATATATCTGTAAAAATATGGCGCCACTTCGCTCTCTGTCTAGTTTCTCCCACTTCATGGCCCCCCGACTTCAAAATCTGTTTCTCTGATTCCTTTACCATCCTCCTACTCCTTTTCTCTCTTCTCTCGTTATTCCTCTCCCTCTTCCGCCCACTCTAACTCTCTCTCTCTCTCCCACAGTTCCTCTACCATCCTCCAACTCTTCACACAGTCTATCCCTCAGCCATCTTCTCCATTCCCTCCTCTTGCTCACACAGTAACCTCATTCTTGCTTCCTGTTCTAACCCCTTGATTCGATGCCACTCCTCCACTTCCCCCTCCGCCGGGGATGAAGTGAAGTTGTTCAATGGTATTTTGCCTTTTAGCTGCAAATGCAAGCCTCCTGGCACTGTGTCCACCAAGAGTCCCTGTTCCCATAACCACCCCCGTTCCTGGCATGTCGCCCCATCCCACTCCTCCAGCCCCACCTCCACCCAGGTGGCCTGACATTGCCGCTGAATTCCGCTCTTGCTCTCGCCCCGATGTTGGGTGCGAGTTCATCTTGATCATGTGGTGACGGTCGAGTGATGGCGTAGCGCAAACATTCTGCTGCGACTGAGCTTTCTGATGGCTAACACGGGGAAGGGTGGGCACCATTCCGCCTCCTCCTCCACCCTGGTAGTCGCTCATTCCCATACCCATCGTGCTTCCGTCATAATCAACCCCGCCAATCTCTTCCTCGAGGTGTTCTGGCGACATGAGCAGCCTCTCCTTGGACTTCTTCAAGGTGTTCTGGTTGTTGGAGTTCTTGGATGATGTGCCTTTGTAGTACTGGTGCTGCTGGTTTTTCGGGACCCTTGATAAGGTGCTGCCATCAGCAAGGGCAAGAAGTTGGTCCGTTGACTTGACGCGTCGTGGCGGTTTAGACAACGTATCATAATTTGGGTTTTTCTTTGACTCTGGTGGATCCAGAGGGTAAGGATTGGGGGTATGGCTTGGGGCTGACTGTGGGTGAGGTATTCGAGGACGGGGGGCATGGGTAGGAAGCGTGCCTCTTCCACCCAGAGTGTAGTCACCACCCCAGGGAAGGTGATGCTGAGAGGAATGAAAGTCAGGACGGGCGTTGTTGGGCCTTCGCTTGGTGGTACAGTAACCTGAATATTCCTCCAATCCTCCTTTTTCTGTAGACGCAGGAAAACATGTTTGAAGAAATCAGAAAATTGGATGAGAACAAAATACACATTAGGAATTCTCCAATCTTAAAATCTGTTCAATATAATCATGAGTTGATTATTGTACATTACATTTTTATGCAATCAGTGTCATTTTAATATATCAATTCAACAACTTATCAGTTTTTATGTAATGGCAAATTACCAATAAAAGATCTTAATCAGATTTCTGTACAAAACCGATAAGACTTTATCTTAAAATGAAACAAATTTAAAGAGGAAAAATGGGGTTCTAAAATAGTGATGCTCCGATCAGGATTTTTATAGCTGATACCTAGTACCAGGCACGTGCACACATAGGGCTCAACCTGTGCAATGCGCATGCCCTTTTTAGTCTTAGATAGAAAGTGCCCTTCCAAAATGATCAAAAGTGCCCCCGCGACGCGACACACCCTCAGTCCCGCCCTTCAGTAGGCGCACGACAACATTGATCTTGAGTACGTGCGTTCAACCCCCCCTCCCCCGCTTTACAGTACGCGCGCAACAACACCGCTCTTCAGTACGCGCGCGACAACCCCCCCGCCCGCTTTTCAAAAATATGTATCCTGCACATGCCCTTTGGACGGTCTCTGTTATGGTGATCGGCCGATACAGAGTACCAATTCTAATGCTTCAAGCTTTATAATGCATAAAGCACCATTTCCCTCTACGTATGATACTTAAAGGGAGATCTCGCCTTTCCTAAGAGAATAAATGAAGAATGTTGCATATACATTTATCACATACATATTAGCCCCCCTGTTTATTTTTTCCCCAATTTGTCTTTAACGAAGAAAATATTTTTTTAACACATTTCTAAACATTATAGTTTTAATAACTCATTTCTAATAGCGGATTTATTTTATCTTTGCCATGATGACTGTAAATAATATTGGACTAGATATTTTTCCAAGACTCTTCTATACAGCAAGTTATTGTTTAATGGTGGTTTGTTCTGCAGACTATTGAAAAAAAAAACAATTAGCTTAAAGGGGCTAATAATTGTGACCTTAAAATGTTTTTAAAAAAATAAAAAAACTGCTTTTATTCTAACCGAAATAAAACAAAAGACTTTCTCCAGAAGAAAAATTATTATCAGACATACTCTTAAAAAATGTCCTTGCTCTGTTAAACATCATTTGGGAAATATTTAATTAAATTAAATTCTTCTTTATTTGTATAGCGCTTTTACAATGTAGATTGTGTCAAAGCAGCTTCACATAGAATATTATAGTGAATTGAAACAGTGTTAGTTCAGTTTTCAGAGTTTAAGTTCAGTTTAGTTTAGTTCAGTTCAGTGTGTTTTAATATTTACTGATGAGAGTCCAAACACTGAAGAGTAATCCATTGATGGGCAGCTCTACAAGTCTCAAACTATGCGCCACTGACTCCCTATTCCAAATCTTTTTCTCCATTTTGGTATTTCCTAGAATTGAATATTTCCAATATTTTTCCAATAATGTTCATATTTTGTCTTCATCTATCAAGTGAAAGTTGCCTATAGCTGACTATTGCATATAGCTGACAATAGTTGACTATTTAAAATTTTAGGTCAAATATGTGGTATACTTTTTTTTGGTTGTGTTTTTGACTCACACATAAAAATCAAACCTTCACCACAACCAGCTGCTTAGCACATATACATTCCTCAACCTTTATGTCCCAGGATTATTGCGTAAAGCCTGATTTCATTAATTTAACAATATTAATCCAATCCTATTTCATCTGAACCCAGAATTATTTCATCTTTCAGCTGATTAACTCTGAGTCATCATATCAGCCTGTATAACCTTCGCCTGTGCAGAACTTTCTTGTCCTCCAACTGTAACTCACACTTCCCAGGAGGTTTGATGTCTAGCTGAGAGAAAGGCCTTAAGGCTGTATGCGTCTGTGCAAGATTGCGGGCGCTTTGCAATGGTTTGCCCTCATTAAAATGACCTTAGCAAACATTTATATCTCCCAAGTGTACCAGTGAAACACTCACACTGTTTAAATAAAAAAATAAAATAAATCATTTTTACGCAATGTTCTAAACCCTGCATGAGACTATGTCCTCATCACAGAGCAGGTAATTTCTTTTTTAAAACACAACTGTACTAAATGTCACACTGCTTTTGATATCTGTCCATTTTTCCTCCTTATTGCTCATAAATTTGAATTATTCTTTGAAATGACGAAGGCTAAAATTAGAAAGCAATCATGCCAAGCTTTTATGTTATTCTTACAAAACATGCTTTTCTCAAGATAAGAATCTTCCTCTCCACAGGTAATAAAGCACTTACCGAGACGCTTGAGAGACGAGTATCTGTTGATTTCAGGCTTCATGGCGGCTTCGTACGAGGGCGGCAGCTGAGCCAGGTTATGTAGGGATTGATGGAAGGACGGCTGGGGCTTCATGGCGTTAGTATGCTTACTGGGCTTCAGTGTGCCACCCATGGCCAGCTGCATGTTGTTCATACGTGGTGCACGCTCTTTAAAGACACATCAAATGAATTCTGGTTATTTCAAACTACTTCTACATTGTAAGTAAGACCCATTTTACTCATTATTAACATATTTTGGTTGATGGGATCACAAGTAGATTTCTGTTTCCATCTGGGGTTTTAATCCGTCTCCTTTGCGCACTTTTGACCACTTTCTGAGGAGATGGTCTATGTATGGACCTTTTCTGATCTTTCAATCTAGTGTTGCGAAATTTACAAATGAATGGAGAAAACACAGCAGAAAATGCAGAGTGGATCAGCTTTCATTTCTGCTTTGACGGCCACAAAACTATGCCAGATGGTTTTTTTTATCCATTAATACTTTTGAGGAGAACATTTGCTTTAACATTTTTCACCTATAAACAAAACTTAAAAATGTATTTCCCATCTGGATAACATCAGGGGCAAATCTGTCCTGACCGCAGAGTATATCTGTTGTAAGGGAGCAATTCTAGTGCGTTTAATATCTTACAACTAGCACTACTTGAACACACCTACTCACTGTCTCGCTGACAATTCCTTTATCCAGTACAGCGCCATTGGATTAGAGCACTGTCAATTTCTCAGATCAAACACAGTAGAAGCTGCAGACCACCAAGTAATATATTATAATAATAGGCCTATAAATATTGAAATACGTTATGCATGTTGAAAGCTCCAGTTCGTTCTTAATTATTCAACATGCACCAGGACATCTTAAAATAAAAACTGTGGTTAGCTTTTTTTTCTGTTGTTCAAAAGAATAAAGGCACACTAGCTATGTTTTCATCCACAGATGTAAATAAAATATATGTGCAAAACTGAAATATAGCATAAAAGACATGCGAATAAAGCAGCGTTTCCATCCAATGAGTCAAAGTGAACAATATCACCGCTTCCTGATTACCTGGCAGCAAAAATCAAAAGTAAAAAACTTAATAAATGACTTGCGCCTTAGAAGACAATGCTGACGAGCAATGAACATGGTGGTGTTTGAAGGCATGAGACGCTGAGCACAGATGCTCTTGACAGTTCTGGAGGTAAAAAGTAATTTAACCTCCGGAGACCCTGACTTGTGTCCTCTGTAGTGGACATTAGGTTTTCATGAATTTTCTTAGAATTTTTTTGAGCTGCTCTGTCAAGTCCTGTTGTACTGTTCAGAGGACATCTTGGGCTTTCTAGTGATATGTCATTTGATTGGCTGGCATGCTAGGAACCACTTCTTACACCACATCCAACATGGCCGACATACAAAAAAGCACATTTTATGGTAAGGAGAGAGGTATGTAAAATTTAGCTTTTCAAAAGTTTTTTTTCTGTTATTACATGTGTTTATTAAAGTGTCAGGAGCAATACATTTAGCTTTCAAAGCTGTTAACTTGTTTGTGTTTTAAAATAGCATCCTTTTTTAAATGTCCACTATAGTGGACACCAGGACCATCTTAATGTAATTAATGATTGCATGTTGTAGGAGGCAGAACTGAAGCAGAGAGGAATCTTTATAGGATAGTTGAGGGAGACTCTGATTTTGAGCCTAACAATCAGACAATTAGAGAATTAGAGACAAAGAATGACAATCAGTTTTAAATTGCTTTTATGTAAAATTTGTTTTGGATTAAACATCACTTCTTGTTCGGCTCTCTTTCAGACAAAACTGTTTCAGGAATTTCAATACAAAAGGCAAAAATGGCTTGTGTTTAGTTTTTATTACATTAATATTGGATTAATATTCCTTTACAGCCATATCCTGTACAGGTTTGTTGTCTGAGTGGCGGTCGTTTCGAACTAAAATGGACATGCTGTAAAATTAAAAATAAAAACAAATTGTAAAAACTCTAAATTGTAGATTTTTTTTTAACCCAGAGGATGTTGGAAATCACAGAAGAAAAAAAAATACAAAAATTCTTTGGGTCTCAGGGGGATAATAACAATAATACTGAAATGGTTAAGGCGTTTTAGAATGACCAAAACAACATTTCAGATGCTTTACAATGTGCTCGGCCTGCTGGTTTATCCATTCACACACATTTCTACCATCACAAGATACATCCTATGACATCATCATCATTCATTAACCCATTGGGATGTATCTGCAATGAGTAATGACATTTGCAGGCTTAAAACGATTACAATGTGACATCACACTGAGATTTTTTCAAAGGCACTCTTATAACAAAATAATGACTTTAATGCGCATACTGAAGTTTCCTATAGGGAAAAGTGGTTCCGTCGTAGTTTATGCGCATCTTTTCTTATGGAATAAGAAAATCCACATAAAATAGGTGGATGGAAACATAGCCATTGACTTTCCCAAGTAGGTAAGCTAAAACGTGGTGTTTTAATAACGGTTTTACACTTTTAACATCTAGAATGGTAAACATGTATTGAATACAGACAGTTTATGCATGGTAGTCTTACATATTTCTGCTTTAGTTTGCAATGTTTAAGAACAGCATCACATTTAAATGATTTTGTCATCTGAGAATAAGCCTATTAAATATTTAAAAATGCCTTTTTCCCTTGGGGCCTTTTAACTGGTTCTTGGGAGGGCCAAGAACCAGTGAAAGGGCCACATGGGAAAAAACATTTATGAAAGCTGTGCCACCCCATTAAAAAATCATAGCATCTGGCTAGCGTGCTTTAAAAACACGTCACATAATGTTGAAGGATTAGGTCGTTTGTGGCTGTTTGTAGACATTCAACCACATGAGCGTTTACACTAAAGCCATCCAATCTAACTACCTCTGAAAGTGGTCGAATGTGGACAACCGCAAAATGTTCCAGACCCCATTTACACCTGTTTTTAGAGTCAATTCGTGATCATCTCCATATCTCAATACCAGGTGTAAAAAAGGTTTAAAACTGTGGGTTTTACCTACCGATTGTGGCAGTGTGTTTGGGACTGGAGCCTGTGGTGTGGATGAAGTTATGCTGCAGATTCCCCACTGTTAAGCAGAACATAAGGTGTGTTTTTAAAGTATATCTTTAAGGATATTTTACATGTAGTGAATTAACAAAGTAAATGCATTCCATCTTCTACTACAAATGTTGCCCTGTTAAGCTCTTTCTGTGCTGAGAATTTTACACCGTCTGTTCATTCTAATGCCATCATATACAGCTCCGTGCTAAATAATTCACAAATGCCCTGTCATCATTTGGCTATTGCTTCTTCTCCGTGTTTCTTTCTTGTCCTGAATTTATACAGTTCACAAGACTCAAGCTCAGATGGGAACATGAAAGGATCTCTGTATGACAGACGCATCCTCCAGCTGCAACCAGGAGCATGAACATTATTTCAGATTCATAAGATCATTCAATATAGATGAGTATTTGACTTGTGACACTAATTGGTCCCATATGATGAATTAAATTAATTTTTTAATATTTACATTAATTTAGCTTACAAACATACATTAGATGACACATCATAATTCTAAATATGCTTGTCTCATCTTACTCTTATATAGACCGTAGTGAATGTATATGGAGATCATGCGAGTTTCCAACTTACGTCGGTTATCTTTCTGTAGTGTGGGATAGAGATTTTTCGGGGGTCGTCCAAGCGTCCCTTCTCCTCCTCCAGTTCCCAAAGCTACACTGTTGTTTCTCTCTCCTTCCTGTACTGGACTCGACTGGTGACGCAACATTTCCACAAGAGCCCTGCAGGTTAGTATGTAAACATTAGTCAAGAGAATACAATCTAAAAAGTGTTAGTTCACCTAAAAAACAAAACCACTTCTCACTATTTTATTATTCACTGACATGTCATTCCAAAGCCTTAAGAAATGTATTCATCTTTGGAACACACATGAAGATTTTGAATTAAATCTGAGAGATTTCCGTCCCTCCATTGAAACTTTATTCACCATTCATAAAGAGATAAACAAAAATTCTTCCATTTAAATTGGGAGGTTAACCCAAGTCTTCTGATGAACAGAATTTATTTGCATTTTTATTTGCATATAAACTTGAACTAAAGCAATTCATTCTTGTCACAAATAACGAGCTTCTGCAAGAATCTGTGCAGCTTTTTTCCCTTTACTTTCTTTAAATTAGCCAATAGCTGGGACAGAGTACATAAGGTTTAGAGCGGTGTAAAATATACATACTATACTGTTATATGAATTATATATATTAAGGATGCTCAGATCGATTGGCCAAAGATCGGTATCAGCTTATAATCATATTTTTTGACTCGATCGGTACTCACCAATCTGGCCGATCTCATATAAAGATTGCAGTGGTTTGTTTACGGCTTTACGCACAGAGGAAGATGCGTTCTGTGTTTTGACAATATTGCAAGATGACTAAACCCTGATAGAAAATTTTAATGATTTATATAAAACAATATTTTAAAAACTTGAATATTTAATAATACACCTTTTTTATATACTTTTTCCCATAAACAAATATGTATTCATATAGGTGTGCGTTTTAATGTCTTATGCATCAAATATACACTCCAAACTTTTTCTTCATAGAAACATGTTGAATTCTTCCATCATTTGCAATGTTTCTAAACTCCATCGTCAGTCATTTTTCTAGCCAATGTTTTTATCCGTTTTATCTATTATTTTCTGTAAAGCTGCTTCTGACCATGCAACACAATCTCATGACAGTTCGTAACATTTTGTTTTAGTGGCTAATTCGTATGAATTTGTATGATCTAACACGCACAATTTAGTACGATTTGCTCATCCCCCAATGACGGTTGGGTTTAGGGGTGGGGTTAGGTTCCACGCCTCCTTTTTAAAATCGTTCAATTTCGTACGACTGAACTCATACGAATTAGCCACTAAACTGGCAAAACGTAAAATACTTACATTTTCTCGGGAGATCAGGCTGGACCATGACATGTCAACACTAAATGGTTATAAGAGACGTGTTTAAGGGATTATATGCAACATTCTTCATTTATTGTCTTAAGTAAGACGAAATCTCCATTAAGTATCATACTTAGAGGGGAAAATGTGCTTTATGCATTATAAAGCTTAAAGCATCAGAATCAGTACTCTATCAGCCGATCACTATGACAAGGAATCGGAGCATCCCTAATATATATATGTATATATGTCAGAATTATTAGCCCCCCTAAATTATTAGACCGCTTGTTTATTTTTTCCACAATTTCTGTTTAACCGAGAGAATATTTTTTCAACACATTTCTAAACATAATAATTTTAATAGCTCATTTCTAATAACCGATTTATTTTATCTTTACCATGATGTCTGTAAATAATATTTTACTAGATATTTTTCAAGACACTTCTATACAGCTTAAAGTGACATTTAAAGGCTCAACTAGTTTAATAAAGTTAACTAGGCAGGTTAGGGTAATTAGGCAAGTTATTGTATAATGATGGGTTGTTCTGTAGATTATCGAGAAAAAATATAGTTGAAAGGGGCTTATAATTTTGTCCCTAAAATGGTTCATAAAAAAATCATAACTGCTTTTATTCTAGCCGAAATAAAACAAATAAGACTTTGTCCAGAAGAAAAAATATTATCAGACATACTGTGAAAATGTCCTTGCTCTGTTAAACATCATTTGGAAAATATTTAAAAAAGAAGAAAAAAAATCTAAGGGGGCTAATAATTCAAGCATAGCCTGGTGGACATGATTATGCATCCACTATGGTATGAACCAGCATAGGGTTGGTAAAATATATATTTATATTATGTAATATTTTAATTATTAATGTTATTTAGGATACAGATTAAAGTATTTTGAACTAATTCCACAATTTAATCAATTCCAATTTAAAACACATTTCTCGTTTTAACATCACTAAGGCAGCCAATTCAAATGTCATCTGACGATTAAATGGGCACTCTCAGTGGTTATCGGCTGATAGATATCGGCCAGTATGGGCCTTCTGCGCAAACTGGTAGGCTCAGATGGCTGTTATCATCCATCCACATAATTAATCAACTATATTTATTTAATTTCCCATTAATTTTATTTGATTAACCCTACCTAAAACCAAATCCAACTATCAGAGTAATGTAAAAACTGAAGTCTTCTCTATAAGTATAGCTGATTAACTATGTGGATGGATGATAGCAGCATTCTAAGCCTACTAGTAGGCGCAGAAGGCCCCTACTGGCCCATATCTATTAGCTGATAACCACTGAGGACGGCCATTCATTCATTCATTCATTCATTTTCCTTTCGGCTTAGTCTCTTTATTAATCTAAATCTCTATTAATCTAAATGTGAGAAGAACATGCAAACTCCACACAGAAATGCCAACTGGCCCAACCAAGGCTCGAACCAGCGACCTTCTTGCTGTGAGACAACAGCACTGCCTACTGCTCCGCCGCGTCATCAATCGGCCATTAATTCAGGTGATAAAATTCAGAGAGGGTGACTAAGGTGCCACCAGGGTAGTCAACCACCCTGTAATTTGTAATTTGGGTCCTGGAGATTAGGAGGTGCCAGGAACAAGTTTTTTTGTGTTTTTTTTCTAATTACACATCTTTACCACAATGTGATAATTTTCATTTTGTGGTCAACTATCCCTTTTTTGATGAAACATCTCACCTGGGCATGTTCAGTTCCCTGTTCCTGGGCTGCCGTGATGCCTTGTGAAACGCCACCTTAATGGCCACCGCCACCGCTACTGTAAACGATATGACTCCACCAATGACGTAGACGGTGTTGTTGCTCTGTTCGATGCGGCTCTGGTCAGGCAGGCCTGGTGCTGGGGACCTGGTCACAGGGGGCGCTGTATTGGCCCACACCGGGGATTGGTAGTTGTGGCAGATGCTCTGGTCCAGCCTTCGGGAGCGGTCGGGACAGCAGAATCGATAATGGCAGGTCCCACAGCAGTAGATGAAGTCGTCCTTGGAGCAGTTAAAGGTGAGGTCATACTGCCCCATGACATCATAATAACCTCGACACACGTCCACTTCCACCAGCTTGCGAGGAGGCGGAGCTACCTGAGCCGCTCCAAAAGGGGCCTTCAGTTTATCAGTCGTTACATTCTTTGGCAGCATTATTTGAGGCAGCGGCCTGAGGGGCATTTCTGCCACTCCAGCTGGCTGCTTTGGCCGACGATTCATGGACTTCCCTCGCATGCTACCGCTGTTTTTAGCAAGGGGGTACATAAAGCTCCTGCCCTGAGATCTTGGGTTGGGAGTCGGGGTGATAGTGATGGGCCCATTTCTGGAGGGGCCCGGGACGCTCGCAGCGGAAGCGTTAAGTGGGACAGCGATTAGCAGGAAGAGAATGATGACACGGACTCGAGCTTCCAAGGTGGGCATCATCTTTACATGACTAACACTGCTATTTTTTTCACGCTGACTCAACCCACCGCACAATGCCGAATTTTGTAAAAGCAGCTTGCTCAGCGCTGTCAAATAATCTTGTAGCAGCCCTCCGACGTATGAAATCTGAGTCTATATTAAAACAGTCTCGAAAGTGAAATCTGTTTACAAAGTCTGCTAAAGTGAACGGTCGCACTCTGAGATGGCGAGAGAGAGAGAGAGAGAGAGAGGGGGGAGAATAACTATCTTGATGTGCTTTCAGCTTCAAGGTGAGTTATACAACACATATTTTCTCAACATGCAGCGCTTGTGTCCAGAATACAGCTGGAAAACCTGAACAATACGTTAAACAATCCAAAAGCTGACAATGCAGGCAACATACAATTGTGTAAACAGGAAATTAAAAAAACTGTCAGATATTAACAAGGCAAATGTTCCCTTTTGTGGCTTCCTTCAAAAATAGACATTTTCATAGCAAGTGACAAACAAAATGGCTTCTCGTTTCTGTCCGATTATTTCAATATCCTGTGTTTTCACGGACACATCAAGGCAATTAAGTTGTACAGCTGTGTACATTAAAAGTATTCAGGTTTAACTCTTTGTTTTGGCACTTATCAGGATGAAAGATTCGTCTAAGAGATAGGGGCAACTGTAAACATCATTAAAAATGTAAACTAATGTTTTGCTAACATATATTTTTTGTTGTATTTGGGCACTCCTTACATTCAGCAATGGCACTTAGTCTTTAAGCAGATTTCCCTGACCTGTGATGCTCCCTGAAAGTTACTATTATTAACTAGTATAAACAACGTCCATACACTTGGTGAAAAAGAAATCGAGCTAATCTCGTTTACGTGTTAACAGGACTACTCAGGACGGCGGACTCCTGTAAGGGTTTGAGGGTGGTGTGATGAGGAATCATTTTGTTTTCGTTCAGCATCCTGGTCTTATAAACCTCTACATTACTGAACCAATGTGAATGTGCATTTCCTCATTCGGCATGGGAAGAATTACCAAGATAATTCTGTGTGCAAATTTACAATAGGAATCAAGTGTGAATTGATCCGTCTGTCATGTTGAATAAAAACAAAACTATGCCCTACCTATGCAGATTTTAGACGTCTATTAAAGAGTGTTCAATAAAGTTGTGACAGACATACGCAAAAAAGTAAATGGCAGTAAAGACGTACAACGTTTTCAAGGCTGATTGTCTTCACAATAAAGAAGGACGTGTGTAAACCTGCCAGTCTCTTTCCAGTTTCTTAAGATACACGCAGAAGATTAGCTTTAAAGATAAGCCCACTTTTCATTGAAATGATGAAACATTTGAAACCATTTGCTGGAGCTCTTGGAGAAATGCTTTAAAGTCCCATGGTGTGGACATGGCTGTTTCCTCTGGTTTTTTGCAGGGTTGATCTTGAAATCTGTTGGCGGTTATGAAGTGGTCGGTTGTCAAGCGACGTGTCTCTGAAAAGAAATCAACACACTGATGTTACTGCCTACATACACACACAGAGAGAGAGAGAGAGAGACAGAGAGAGAGAGAGACATCTGTGAAAGTTTTTGAAAGATCATAGTTAGCTTGTCATCTGCATGGCAGCCTATTATTTTCATTGCGACACATATGGCATGTGATGTGACAGACAAATAAGGTATGCAGCAACTAATGCGATCAATATAGAATTCAGCACAAAAGAGATTTTTTATGGGGTACGACTGCATGTTTAAACACATTAAAGCTACAGCAAGAATATATTTCAGTTCAAAGAAACTATGCCAGAATCAGAAATATTAGTGTATGAACACATTAAATATGCATATCTGCAAAAAAGCAATCATTCCGTTTTAACAATGTTCAAAATCAATAAGAGTTGCTAAAAAGTATGTGGCAACACTGCAAAATAAATGCAACAAATATACCAACTTATAAATCAACATCTTAAAATTAGCTTATGGCCTAAATGTGATGTGCATTCCAATAAACAGCAGCAAAACTCGCCGTTACAGTTAAATAAATACCCACACGTGCCCTGAAGACCATATTAACTCTGGTTCTTTAATTCATACTGAATCAGAATGGAACATTGAATCTGTGAGATTTCAGTACGGCTACAGTCTGTTCGAACTCACAAATTCTGAAAAACCTTCCTTGCTATTCTTGAACTATTTTAAAAGATTAATTGAAAATAAAAATTTTTAAAAGAATGATTCATCACTAATCAGACTATTCACACTGTTTCAGAGTACAAAGTTATTTATTTATGACAATATACACTCACCGGTAGCTGCTTGTTAACGCAAATTTCTAATCAGCCAATCACATGGCAGCGACTCAATGCATTTAGGCATGTAGACATGGTCAAGACGATCTGCTGCAGTTCAAACCGAGCATCAGAATGGGGTTAGAAATGTGATTTAAGACTGCTGGAGGACCACCAGCACTGCATGTTTTGGATGTCTCCTTTGTCTTTCATACCTATTACAGGTCTTTCGGTCTCTGCTAATGAGCTGATGATCTGAATCAGGTGCGTTTGGTTAAGAGACATGGAAATATGCAGAGCTGATGGTCCTCCATGAACGTGGTTGAGAAACACTGATTTAGGAGGCTTTGAATGTGGTATGGTTGTTGGTGCCAGACGGCCTGGTCTGAGTATTTCAGAAACTGCTGATCTACTGGGATTTTCACGCACAACTATCTCTAGGATTTACAGAGAATGGTCAGAAAAAGAGAAAATATCCTGTGAGCGGCAGTTCTGTGGGCACAAATGCCATGTTGATGTCAGAGGAGAATGGCCAGACTGGTTTGAGCTGATAGAAAGGCAACAGTAATTCAAATAACCACTCGCTACAATAAAGGTCTGCAGAAGAGCATCTCTGAACACGTCCAACCTTGAGGCGGATGGGCTACAGCAACAGAAGACCACACCGGGTGCCACTCCAGACAGCTAAGAACAGGAAACTGAAGCTACGATTCACACAGGCTCACCAAAATTGGACAATGGAAGATTGGAAAAGTGTTGCCTGCTCCAATGAGTCCAGATTTCTGCTGCGACATTTGGATGGTAGGGTCAGAATTTGGCATGAACATAAGAAAGCATGCATCCATCCTGCCTTGTATCAACGGTTCAGGCTGCTGGTGGTGGTGTAATGGTGTGGGAGATGTTTTCTTGGCACACTTTGGGCCCATTGGTTCCAACAGAGCACCGTGTCAACACCACAGCCCACCTGTGTTTTGTTGCTGACCACGTCCATCTCTTTATGTCCACAGTGTAACCATCTTCTGATGACTACTTCCAGCAGGATAATGCACTATGTCATAAAGCGCAAATCATGTCAGACTGGTTTCTTGAACATGACAATGAGTTCACTGTACTTAAATGGCCTCCACAGTCACCAGAACTCAATCTAAAAGAGCACCTTTGAGATGTGTTAGAACGGGAGATTCACATCAAAGATGTGAATCCAACAAATCTGCAGCAACTGCGTGATGCTATCATGAAAATATGGACCAAAATCTCAGGAATATTTCCAGTACATTGTTGAATATATGCCATTAAGGATTAAGGCAGTTCTGAAGGCAAAAGTGGGTCCAACCCAGTACTAGCGGGTGTACCTAATAAAGTGACCGGTGTGTGTAGTTATAATCCATATTTTTATGCACTAAAATGTAGTGAGGTTACAGTTAAAAAATAAATGTAACATTATCTACATTATTACTGAGCAAAATTAAGATTCAATTTAATATTTATCCCTCAAGATCTGTGCTTACAAGGATATGTTCACCCCAAAATGCAAATGTGCTATTAATTTCTACCCTCAGGCAATTTAGGATGTAGGTGACTTTTTCTCTACTGTAATATTTAAAAAGGAGTTTGAGCTGAAACTGCGCTCCTTGGTAATTCAAAAGTCAGTGATTATCAGTACTTTGAGAGCCAGAAATAGAGTTTAAACTAAATAAATACCTTGGTCTCCTGAAATTGACTTATGAAATGTAACGATTGGTCTGTGCTGAACAAACTGAGCATTAGTTACAACATTACACCTTGGGTGCAGATATATCTACCAGAAAATCAGATTTGCTTTGGTGTACATCATATGGATAATTAAATATAACAAATAAAAATGAATAAAAAATTCATATTTGATCTTATTATTTTAAAATAGTAATATTGCACATTCTTCTGTTTTTTTATTAAAATAATACAATACTAATATTTACATCATTGTTAGTTTTCCTCAAAAAATATTCAAATTGTAATAATTTTTAATACTTACTAGCAATGCTTTGCCAGTTTCAGCAATGTTCAAAATCAATAAGAGTTACTAAAAAGTATGTGGTAACACTGCAAAATAAATGAGATAAATATACCAACTCATAAATCAAAATCTTAAAATTAGCTTATGGCCTAAATGTACATTCCAATAAACAGCAGCAAAACTCGCCGTTACAGTTAAATAAATACCCACACATGCCCTGAGGACCATATTAGCTCTGGTTTTTTGATTCATACTGAATCAGAATGGAACATTGAATCTGTGATGTTTCAGTACGGCTACTGTCGCATCTGTTCAGACTCACAAATTCTGAAAAACCTTCTATGCTATTCCAGAAATAGTTTAAAAGATTAATTGAAAAGTAAAATATAATTGAAATGAATTATTCATCACTAATTAGACTATTCACACTGTGATCCAGAGTACAAAGTTATTTATGACAATATACACTCACCGGCCACTTTATTAGGTACAATCCTAATGCTTGTTAACGCTAATTCCTAATCAGCCAATCATATGGCGGCAACTCAATGGAATTAAGCATGTAGACGTGGTCAAGACGATCTGCTGCAGTTCAAACCGTGCATCAAAATGGGGAAGAAGGGTGATTTAAGAGACTTAAGTAAACAGGAGTAAATAAACTGTGGCTATATTCACTGTGCCCTGAAACTGACAGCACAACGCCTGAAAGTTTCCTATTTATTTAGATGAACATCTTACACAGGATTACAGTTAATCTAGCTACAACAGTGATGTGCATTAGCAGCGTCCAACTATGTCGGTATGCAAATGAGCTTGTTCATAACAGTCTGGAGCACAATCTTCTTCTTGCATAATGACGAGCCAACAGAGGCTCATTGGAAATACAGGCTTTAGCCTACTACATTGTCAAACTGCAAGAACAGTATGATGCCAACAACCTTTGTTTCTTCACTGATAATATTTACAGGGAAATATTATAAGTGATTAAAGCATTTTCTTCATGCATTTCTTTGCACAATACTTAATAAATACCACCAAACATTTTAACAATGTCCATAAATTGTGATTGAATACATTTCCCTCACATATCTATCTCCATATAGATAACTTTCAAGAAGTGTTTATACGATGTTGTCCTCGTGATGCAGAATGCTTGGATTCAAGTCTGGTGAGATAAAAGCAATGTATAATCAAGGTAAAACCATTTTGTCGCAGAGCACTTTTATCTTATGTTTGCTTTTAAAAACACTACTGGTTGGGTTTAGTTCAGTAGTTCATTAGATGATCTGTAGGACAAGCTGCACCATCTTGTGGATGTGTACAGGACATGTTTGTGAAACCTATAACAATATGTAACCTAAGTAACGTATTTCACATTTGGAAAATTCTACACAGTGCCCTCTAGTAGATTTGTCATCTGGAATGTGCAACAAATTGTACCTGGTGCAACGTATTTTTGCAAAAATGTAGGCTGAGACATTTATTTTCAATGAGACTGGGTTGTTTTGAGCCAGCAAACTCGTGCATGAGCTGATGCCACTCGTTTTATTTCAGAAAACTATCATCTAAACCAGGGATCACCAAACTTGTTCCTGGAGGGCCGGTGTCCTGCAGATTTTAGCTCCAACCCTAATCAAACACAGCTGAACAAGCTAATCAAGGCCTCACTAGGTATACTTGAAACAACCAAGCAGGTGTGTTGAGGCAAGTTGGAGCTAAACCCTGGAGGGACACCGGCCCTCCAGGACCAAGATTGGTGACCCCTGATCTAAACTATCATCTAACTATACTAATTAAAACTGAAAAGTGCTGCAAGTTGTTGACTTACATTTTATAAATCACCAAGGAACTAGTTTTAGCTAAAAACCTTCAGGGTTCTTCTTACACATATTTCAAAGTCAAATTTAAGCACTTTTCAAGCACTTTCCAGGTGCATTTTCAAACTTTTACAACATTTTAAAATTGTGTGGTAAATTACATATTTACATACAAATAGATGCTTCTTCATCACAATAAATCAGATGCTATTTGTTAGAATTACTATTTGTTAGAATTACTAATACTATACTATAGAATATTATTAGGAAGATTTGATGGCATGTTTGCCCCAAGCCCAGCATTGAATTACTGTCATTTGCTCTACTAAACGTAATTTACTCACTTAAATGTGTCACCTTAAAAGAGACCTATTATGCTCCTTTCTACAAGAG